TTACAGTTACAGTTACAGTTACAGTTACAGTTACAGTTACAGTTACAGTTACAGTTGCAGTTACAGTTACAATAATTAGGGGTACAACAAGTATTGAATAATATTCAATACTTTTGTTGTACGTACCCCTAAATATATTCAATGAATATGGGATAGAACTGGACAAAAAAAGGCTTAACAACTTAATGATAACAACTTAACGATAACAACTTAATGATAACAATAACAATGACATTAATATTTAATTAAGCCTTTAATCACTCCCTAAGAGTGTTGGCATAACAATAACATTGTCAAAACGGTATAAACGTGCAGATAATATTATTACATTATGCAAATAACATTGCAGGGCAGCTTTATAGTTGATATTGAAATGTTGATAGTATGAGGTGTTTATTTTTGACATGATCATCATAGCAGCAGACATTACGGCACGTGAAATCAAATCTAATTTTGCAAAAATGAAAATTTGGGTGTTATTGACCACAGCTCTATCTGTTAAAGACCGGGTGCACTATTTCATCTTTTAAAATCTTTTAAAAGATTTTAAAAGATTTTTCGGGAAATAAATCTCTAATTTCAATGTTATGCACTTCGGCAGATCTGATGACAAAAGAGTAATTGTAAATTATGGAGGTAAATCCAAAACTAGGTCCACAAACGCCAGTCCGAAACATACATTACTGCAGGAGAGACCTGATTAAGTACTGAAGGAGGCGGGAAAAAATCGCACAATTACTGTGACATATGATTACTTGACCGGTAGGGTGTTTACTAGGGTGAAATTGCAATTCTATTCGATCAACCGGCAAACTTAGGTCCGTCAACCGGTCAGTATTTCGGAGGACAGTAAGTATTGCGGAGGAGGGACGTTGGAAGAAAATTCTTGATTGAACGGGGGACAAACAAGATACGATTTCGGACTTTGGTGCCGGGCAGTTGACACATGAATGAGGGTCATTACGTTTTACAGTCGGAGGAATGTTGGATTCAGACCTGAATTCTCATTCATGAAGACGGGAAATTTGATGCACGTTCGTGAGATTTTTTTTGCGGGAAAATAATGATGTCGGAACAATGGCTTATAGTTGAATTTACTGAGTTGCATAGCGTGGTGTTAATACTCTAACGTGATTGGCGGATGTAGGACAGTATTGGAGCTGTGATTTGTGGATGATAATCACGTGGGTGTCACGTGACCCGAGTGAGCGTGACGCAGGGCTCCTCACAACACGGGAGAAGAAACAACTACCAGTAATTACAGCTCTGTCACTAACATGCAGCCGCGCAGGCACTTCACCACCATGTCGCTCCTTCTTAGGAATTTAGTTCAAATTGCATATTCATCAAGTTCGTGAGTGTGGTGGTGAAAATACCGCATCCTTACCTCAACATTCTCTGAACCTCGTGCCAGTGGAATTATGCACCAGACTGGGATAGTCTAGAGCCAATGAGTGCTGCTGATTTTGATCACGTGACAATGAGAGCCAATGGGAGCCGCTGATTTTGATCACGTGACAATGAGAGCCAATGAGTGCTGCTGATTTTGATCACGTGACTTGATATTTTGCCGCGTGGGCTGAGAGCACTAAGGACCAATGGGGCACGTGGTGAAGTAGGAATTGAATGAGATTAATTTTGTTAATTAGATTATCATTCTGATGCAGTTGTTTCCAGCAGATTACAATGGTCACAATGCTCCACGACATGCTTCACAGCGCTGTTATTATTATTATATTATAATCAGGTATTAAAAAAACAATCTAATAACACAACATTGTCTAGACGGTCAGGTATTATTTGGATATTGGCTGACACAAGAAGAACAATATGAAAAAAGCTGCAGTACGCCACACGGCTCTGAAGGTTAGTGTGATCTCGTGGCGTCTCGAGAACGCATGGTATGCCGTGATATAAAATACGTCGGTCACCAGCCAAGATGGACATTTGAATACTGTGGTAAAATTTCGAAGTGACAGGCACTTTATGTACGAAAGATCTTGTGATTAATTTAGGGAGACTAAACACTATTCCCACTACCGAAACTTGGCCGAAAATTAAAGATCTGCAGCATATTTTTAGAAAAAAACGTACGAAGTTTCTTTACAGTCGTATTTTTAGCAGTTGTATTTTTAGAAATCGATTGAAATTTAAACTATAAGGTATTTAATTTAAACGGCATCGGTTTAGAGTTCCTTCAGTTCAAATAAATCACGAGGCTCGAATTTATAGAGTCAAACCAGAGTTTATAATGTATGAGTGGAGCGGACTGTTGTCTTTCTGGGGCCAGACTCACAATAGCCTGATCTCTGGTATGCAATATTGGGAATATTCATTACTCATTTTGTTTTATATCTGGGTGGGATCTTCATTCTTCAATGACAATGGAATGTAGGCTATGCCAATTAGCGAAAGTTTAGGGGCTGCATTTTTGAGCTCTTTTTTATCTTTAACCCACAGGCTGTAAGGTATGCTAGTTTTTGAAGCCCTTGCTTTTCCACAGAAATCCCTGCTACATAATTCGGAGAGGCTGTCGAGCTCTGGGCCCATGTTAAGGCTCTGGGCCCATGTTGAAGCTCTGGGCTTGAAAGGAGGCTGTATAAGTTCAGAACACAATAAGTTTTACGATCGACATTTAAACAATAAACGAATATATTTCAGTGCTAGGGCTGAAAGAGGTGAAGGTAAAACTGAAATTTACATGAAGTTACAGGTTTCTAAATGAATATCTGGTTATTAGCTCAGACTGAAACAATAAGGACAATGTTTACATCGATAACCATATAGGTTAATAGTAATACAGAATAAACAATGAGATACTTTAACTTAAAAGACATTTTAAGGGCATAAGTGTAATTCCTAGTGAGACAAAATAAAGACATTGACATTTAACATTTAAAGTAAACAGTTTACAGTTTCACACAGTTAAAACGGAAGATTCTTTTTTCAGACCCGCAAACAGAGTCTCAAAATTGAGGCTGAGTATGCCCTTGAGAGTAACGCGTGTGCCATCACGTGACGTCATCATTGCGTCATCACTATCAGCTTGGTCATGTGACTGCATCACACATAAGCTAGGTTATCAGTTTAACACATAAGTAACCCCTGAACCCAGAATATATCAAGAGAAGAAGGCTTTTAGAGGCAAAGAAATTTCATCTAAAAAGATAGAGGTCCCCAACATGAGACCGCTGCTCCTCTCATCCCAACCAATATCCAAATAATAGAGATACTATCAAGATAGTATCCAAGTTCCACAGACGAATAACTCAGAAGAACACACGTTAGTTTACAAGACGATCTTAAGATCATTTGAAATAGTTTATTTAAACATGCAGTTCATGCAGCAATATGACATCATAATTTACTTTAAATACCAGTATTTACAACTTAACAGGTTACAGCATATCTTAACGCCACACATTTATTATTTTTACATAATATCTTAACCAATGTAAGTATCGTTTATTCTCGCGGGAAGTAATCTAAACTTACTCTTACCAGTCAGACGTTTATTGTTTAGCGTTTGGGAAGTAATGGGTCTTGGGACCTAGATCCGTAATCGAGTAAAGACTAAGAAGAGGGTTTACGCTCATTATAAAATAGTCAAGTCACGGGTTAAGCGTTCATTGTAAGGAATATCTCCAACTGGGCGAAACTACACCGACTAACAGATGACAGATGCCCTAAGTATTCTTGTGGGAGGATTGGAATTCCTGGAATGCCGACCCTTACTAATTGCAGCAAGCTTGCCAGTGTTATCCTTCCGGCAAGCTTCACACGGATACTGAACTGTTGGTGAACTGTAGACTGTTCACGATCGTATGTTGTCCTGAACTTTGATTGGTCAATTGCAGGTCAGGTGTTTAGTCTCTGTATTCTCATTGGTCAGCTTGAATTTGTCTAGCCATAGGTCGTGTAAAACAGTGTTTGTATTAGTAAAATACAGTGTAAACAATGTTGTGTGTAAAATAGCCGCTGTATGGTTTAAAATAGCCGCTGTATGGTTTAATACCGTCAAGTTGGATTGGGGGGGGGGGGGGGGGGGGCGGTGATAAATCCAATTTACCACACCAGGGATATGCTTAGTTTCCTCCGGAAAGTTTGACACCTTACAAAAATAGTACCCATCCTCAGAAAAAATGAAGAATAGCCAAGGGTTATCTTCAGATCGCTCAAGTCACTGTTCGTCTACAACTATTTGGCAACAATGTATCTGATTTTTTGTTAACTCAATTATCTTTACTATCGCAAGTATACCGGGGGGGGGGGGGGGGGGGAGGGGGGGTGACCCCATCACTGCAACGATATGTCAAACAATGTTCTCTTAACTTGGCCAGCCAATTGTCTTATTTCACAGACTGTCAAACTCATTCCGTGTCTGTAAATACACACAACAAGTAGGTTCTGTCAAACAAATACCATCAGTTCTACATTGAGAATGAGCTGTTGTAACAAAAGTTCATTCGCCACGAAAAACACCGAAAAATCACACAGACAACTCGACGGACAAATTCAGTTTTACACCAGACCAACGAATTGACGGACCTAGAATGGTCTGGGCTCGGACTAATACGAGAGTTGCCCCCTAAGCTACTAGACCACAAATATCGTACAAAGTCTACAAGTTTAGACAGACTAAAGTGCTTCACGTACGATGGTACACGCCCTGTACTCTACAAATTGCCCACAATACTGTTAGACACGTGTGATGGATTGGAGAAGTCACGCACTTTTACGGTTATCGATGTCTGTTTGGTGCTTGAAACTGATGTTCAATTTGGGCACGTCTAGTTTTATAAACAGTAGTGGTTGAAAGTACGGTTAGATCTCTATTGTCTAAGTGCTGAATATCATGCAAATCAGTGTTATAATGCTTCGCGAAGATCGGATCAAAGGTGGGGCGGCGGTATTATCACAAAACATACAATCTACACGTGCAAAATGAGTGAAACAATATAGCACGTGCAAAGCAGCTGGAATTTAGGGAAAGTACTTACTTCCAGCCGACAGTTGACATGGCATGAGAAGGACACATAATTTCCACTGTTTCTAGTTCGTCTCTCTGCTTTATCCATCCTGAAAAATAAAGTTTTATCGTTTGATGAAGTGATTGATTGATTAAATTTTAATAAATTTACTAAGAGAGCTATAGGAAGATATTGAAAAAGGTCTCTATAGTAGGAGTTATCATACGGGTTCTTCTATTTTCACTTTCTTCTAGATCCTGATTTCTAAGGATTCTTTTAATTGAGTTTGACTATCGTAGAGTTGGAAAGGTGCGACAAATTAAACGGTATTCCAGAATCCCTAAAATCTCGACAGAACCCACTAGGGTTTAACCTCGCATATTATTACAGACCAAAATGTGTCAGCCTAATTAATCGACATTCCACTAATTAATTGATAATGATCCAAGTACGTGCGGACATGTTTTGTTTGCATAACCTTGTGGACAAATAGCAGCGTTATGTAAGGCTGTTTCCCTTTTAAGCACAGGTCACCTGTTTTAATACTTAGGATAACAACAACTCGAGGATGGTCTTTATTGATTTCATGTTACTAATGACAAAATGTTATTAATGACACCATTTAACAGACAAAATTGTTTTATATTGAATCAGGAGACCAACGTAAACCTATCTACCAGTCGCACTGAAATTATATGATAACAGTCGGAAGCTTTTAAAGTACCTAGCAGTTTCACTCCTCCATTTAACTTACATACCAGCTGAACAGATACCTAAATTATAATTCGTAAACTCTATAAAATCTCTAAATAAGCGGGACGCTCACCTTTTGTTGGGTACCAGTTGCAGTTAAGGTGTTGGATGAGCATGCCAGAGTAGCCGGGCTCGCCTTTCTCTCCGTTAGCGCCCTTAACACCGGGGGATCCAGGTGGTCCTGGATTTCCATCGTTACCTGTTAATCCCTGTGATAACGCGGGTTAGTTTCTGAGTTACCTTATGTTACTACCTTATGTTACTATATTATATAAACTATAAAGCGTATATATACGCTTTATTATATATGAGTATATATATATATAATATATATATACTTTGGGTGAAATAAGTGGGGTGGGGGGACTTTGGGTGGAATAAGTGGGATGGGGGGGGGGGTGACTTTGGCTGGAATAGGTGGGGTGGGGGAACTTTGGGTGAAATAAGTGGGGAGGGGACTTTGGCTGGAAATAGTGGGGTGGGTGGGGGGACTTCTTGGGGTCACCAGGTATGGCTATAATTTCACTTAAATCATCTATAATCCAACAAATTCGATCAGATGGCTGGTATATTCGTTGACCTGTTATTAAATATTGATTATATTGATACTTATATTGATACTTCTGACTGATCTGCTACTTTTATCTGCTTTGAAAGGGAGGGGGAACGGTCGGGTGAGGTCTTGATCAGAACAGATATCAAAATACACATATTGGGGGTTCGCCACTTGGTTTTAGGCGGGATGAAAATTACCACTAATTACATCGGTAATTAAGAAGTAGCATGTCAGTGGTCATGAAGTAACAGCGTTAACATTCTTAGCTGATTTTTATTGCACTCGTACTGGTCAGTGACTCAATAATTCCTCCTTTTGATGCCACCACTTGATGGATTTAGCGGATCAAGAGCATTGATCTGGCCTCATATTGATGACTCTTCCTTACAGGATATTTTAATTCTTATCGATATTGTATTATCGTTTAGTGAAGGTACTTAGTGCAACAGATCAATAGATAGACATTATATTAGGGGCCCGCTTCTCTCTACAACAGGCAGGATATCCTTTGTCATTAGAATACCAAGGGGATTTCACTGAGGACCTGTGGTAAGAAGTTGATCGAAAAGACGTGATTTGCTTGAGTTTGGTTAGACTTAGTTACTTACCAATGGTCCAATAGGTCCAGTGGGTCCTTCTAATCCAGGCATTCCTTCCCTACCAGGAGGTCCTTGGAATCCTGAAAAGTAGCAAAATCGTTCAATAATCTAATGATCTTGCAAAGATTAGACGCCTTGACTTAACATCCACTCACTTGATGGACAACATTAAAAATCAGTTAAATAAAAAAGTAAAATAATTACCTCTGGGACCCCTGTCCCCTTTAGGGCCTCTCAAAAGGTTTGGCTCGCCAGTAGGTGAAGGAGTGGAACTTGGGAAGTCTGTGGTTGACCACACGTCCGGAGCTTGGCCCGAGTCTCCCTTAATCTTAACAGCACTGTACTCGATCCCACGACTCTCTAGAGCCTGAACATTGATAAATTATTATTTAGATGATTAGTTAAATAAATAATTCATAAATGGACATTCTTTTGCTCATGATTCTGATTGTGAAGAATACAGATATGATATGATTGCCTAAGGCAAGTGATACTGCGAAATATTGATAGGTATTACACAGGCCCTGAATGTCGCAGTATAATCTATGGGTTGTATTCCCTTGATTACACAGGCCCTGAATGTCGCAGTATAATCTATGGGCTGTATTCCCTTGATTGCACTTGATTGTAATTTTTTTAAATATGCAATGATTTGTCGGGTTTTTGCAAAACTTCCTTTTTTGGAAAACTTCCTTTCTTATATCTCTTAGATAATCAATAATTCTGTCCGATGGGGATATCTTTGAAGTGTTCTATTCAACTCAACAGGAAAACTAGTTGACAAAAGTGCAAAACTCTTGAAAATAATGGAGACACATTGACGCACTGTCATGACTATTAACTTCTATATTTGGAATGAAATAAACACCGTGTTATTTGATAATGCAGAATTGCAAACAGCCTCACTCTCATTCACTTGGTCAAGTTTTTAACTTATATAAGGTGCGATATTGGGTTTTCTCTTCTCTACCGACAAAGATGTATTAACCCATTAGGGACGACGAGTTTTAAAGTTTGCTGATTTTGATGCCGTTTAACACACTAGGTCACTTTACAGCAAAAATGAGATATCCAAAAAAGCTAATCTGTATCTCGTTTACTTTATAAGATACAGCTATGGTCGCATACGACCCTCTCGTCCGGGTCGCAAACGACCCATCACGGTTTTTCGGCTTTAACTTCTGAAACAAAAACGTTAGGATAGAATAAAAACTGTAGCATAAGTTAAAAACAAATGATCAATACTGTGTGACTCTAACTTTTTAGAAATAAAGAATTTGGGTCATTAACGACCCACTCGGCTCACTTGCTTATTACTGCATATGTCCATGTAACTTCTTGAATTCAGCCTAAAACATGACATCATAAGTGCAAACTTGCCTCTCAGCAAGTGATAATCATCATAAACTGCGAAAAATCGGTTAAATTGGTCATTAGCGACCCACTAGGATCACAAAATTGATTAATTAAATATAATGTTGTGAAACTTTTACAAATATTAGTATAAAAACATGTTATATCTTGGTCATTACTCCTGTACGTTGATTTAACTTCTTAAATCGATCAACTGGGTCAATAACGACCCACTCGGAAGTTGAACCACGACATTAATTATCAGTATCATGCCGTTCCACCATCAAGAAAGACACTCGTAGGTCTTAATTCCACGCAAACCACGGGTGGATGACCACTAGCCCTCATGAGATCTGGAGTCTCAAGGTGATCTGCAGATCACGTCACCCAATCACTGACGAATAATGAGCAGAATTGGATTGATAGGTAGGTGAGTTTATTAGCTGTTAGTACACGACCGTAATGTCGTGAGATAACAAACAACGTGCCTATCTTTTCCCGATTCCTAAAAAGTCCAAGAAGAACTATACAACTGCTGGATTCAGATTTCTGATGGCTGCATCTACTCATTTCGCAGCCTCCTTTCTTTACTTCTTAGGGGCCGTTCACATATTACGTAATCACTTATTGGACAATTTTTACCCCCCGGCCCACCCCACTACATAGCTATTATGTCAAAATTACACTAGCGTAATCATTTGGAAATCCCTCTCAGCCGATTACGTAATACTTGGTTTCGTTTTGAAAGCTGCCTCGTTGTTGCGGGGTTGTAACCCAAAACGGAGTAGTTGTCTGAGAGATTGCAGGTTGCAGCACCGCCAGCCAGATGGGGGGGGGGGGGGTGCTTTTTCCTTGTCCTTCTTCACAGAGCTGGTGATGTAGCCATCTGAATGCAGCAGTTGTTTAGTTATTCTCGTACTTTCTAGGAATGTCAAACAGATTGGCATGTTGGATTAGAATATGCAATTTGACCGCTCTTCTTTCAGTGTTTACCCAAGGTTACAGAAATATCTCGTATACTTCGTTCACGGTATTTTTCTTGAGTGACATGATCTGATCACCGTGGGAGCCTGGGTCTCAAGCGGTTGTAGCAGGTCGTTTACCAAGATTCGAAATTGACAAAAAAAGTAACAGAATCTAATAAGCAACAACAACAGTATGGCCATTACCTAGCAAGTTAGGAACGAGGGCTGATCTCCTTTTCTTTTGCGACACGGCCACGGTCTTTTCGGTGCAGATTTCCACAAGCCCACGCACCATAGTCAGGACGCAACTCCAGCATATGCAGTCGTGTTATTCTCGCAGCTTTTTGATGAGTGATGACTGCCCTTCAGTTGGCCCTGGATCTCAGGAGGGCTAGTTGTCAGCCACCGTGATTTGTGTGGAATTAAGACCTACGAGTGTCTTTCTTGATGGTGGAACAGCATGATAATTAATGACGTGGTTCAACTTCCGAGTGTGTCGTTATTGACCCAGTTGATCGATTTAAGAAGTTAAATCAACGTACAGGAGTAATGACCAAGATATAGCATGTTTTTATACTAATATTTGTAAAAGTTTCACAACATTGTATTTAATTTATCAATTTTGTGGTCCTAGTGGGTCGCTAATGACCCATTTAACCGTTTTTTTGCAGTTTATGATGATTATCACTTGCTGAGAGGCGAGTTTGCACTTATGATGTCATGTTTTAGGCTGAATTCAAGAAGTTACATGGACATATGCAGTAATAAGCAAGTGAGCCGAGTGGGTCGTTAATGACCCAAATTCTTTATTTCTAAAAAGTTAGAGTCACACAGTATTGATCATTTGTTTTTAACTTATGCTACAGTTTTTATTCTATCCTAACGTTTTTGTTTCAGAAGTTAAAGCCGAAAAACCGTGATGGGTCGTTTGCGACCCGGACGATAGGGTCGTATGCGACCGCAGTTAGTAAACAGCGTCTAGCTCTGTTTGTGAACATTTGATTATCACGGGCTTTTCATTTGTCTCAAGGAAATCGTTGCCCGCAACTATTTTGTTCTCAAAAAAATAAGCCTACATAAAGTTTAAATGTCCCAATCAAGGCAAGAAGTTAAGTGAAATATTTTCCAATTATGACGACTAATTAGTCTAATTATTTAATTGTTAGTGATTAATTGGGTCTCGACTGGAAAGTCAACTATGTAGCCCAATCAATTTTGAGCATATGTGCGAGAGATTCATGGCGTTTAGTATTTTGGTTTGTCCTCTATAGCCTCTAGAAAAGGTGAGTCGTAAACGACCCTATCGTCCCTAATGGGTTAAACATAACGCATTACGAGGGTCAGACTTTAAGGAATTTCCGCATGCTTGGGATGCTCGGTAACTTAAACATTAACGTTTTATTATATTCAATTTATTGAGGGCAAACTTTGTGAATTATTTATAATCTGCTATATAGTTACATTACGGTATAAATAGATCGCGGCCTCATGTCGGTATGCATCTGAAACCAGTGAGTACCATTAAGGTTTACAACTTGCGTAGTGGGAGCCGAGAGATTAGATTAGGTAAATCCAGAGCTCGGGATCTTTAGCTTGTTCCACGGTATTTTACTGGGAATTCGATTGTGATCCGATTATAATCAGAACGAAACTGAATATAATTTCAAATTTTTGAAATTTTTGTGGTGCTAATTGAGATGATATCAATTTACGATTTACGATAGTTAAGGTCGATTCCTGGACAATATCCATTGTCCTCAGCTCTCAAGCAATAGAGTTTAAACAGCTCTTGTGCCTACCAAATGGCGGGAACAGTCCGTTTAAACCGCCATGACATGTGACAGAATGGTGTTGCCATATATAGTATACACTATACAGTATACAGTTATTTATATTCTGTGAGTAACAACCTGAACTCAATTATCCCTCGCCACATGATCTCATTAACAAGTAGTAGCCACTAAAGTCACTAGTGACCTGAGAGGTTTATTTCACGTCTACTTCCTTCTTCAAATCAAATATCCGGTCACTTAGTGAGTTAGTGACATTAGGCATTGATAGCTTATAAGTTTTGCTGAGAACTTGGTGATACCAGTAACTGTGGGGGAACTTTTTTTACCGGGATAGAAATATTACAAATACTAGCAGGAACCCGTGTTTCTCTAAAGTGGTGTCAAGAGACATTAAGACATAACACAATGTTATTTATTTAATTTGTGATTTTTACACCACCTGGGGGTCCATTTTTCGGGACCTAAATTATTTATTCCTTGGCTTATTTTTTATTTTTTTATACTAACCAAAAGGCCATAAAAGCATTCGACCCAGCCAAAAATGTTTCAAAAGTATATCTCTCACAGTTTCCAACTTTTGTTAAAGTTGAAGTCGTAGTGTCAATAAAATGATAACAGATATATATATATACAGACTACAGAGTCGATATATTTTAATGTTGCCATGGGGTGGCTAGTCCCCATACATTGCATCGTGGTCCAGTAGTTTTATTTAAATTAATACCGGTCTAGAACAAACCCAACTGTGTTCTTTGCTGAATATATTTTCTGGGATTCATCATTCGTTGTTTCACTTGGGTGAGTGCGAGGAAAACGGAAATCTAAACTCAATTTTGTACAATGTACGTGCGGTAGAACTAGCAATTATTTTCGACTAGTATATTCTAGAAGAACCTGCCTGAACTTGCATTTAATACGTTTATTAATTAAAATATTGGACATTAATAAACGAATTTTGTGGTTAAAGGAAATTTACCAAACGGATAATTATTGTCACTGGGAAAACTTAGTAATTCAAGTACAAGTCATCGTGCTACTCTCCACCCGGAAATCGAAATGAAAGTATCCTCAAAAATATATGAGCTTTGTTTACCAACCCGATTTTACCGAATTTCCGCAAATTATTTTATCGGGAGAGCTTTAAGAAAGACCACAGACATCGGTGACAAGTTATTATAATCCCCTAAAATCGATTTACAGGTATTAATCCAACCCACAACCCACGCAATGGTAGTCCAGTAAATTTTTCCAACTGA